CCGGAACATTCTGTGAATTAAATGCAAACCAATCTGCTTTTCAAACCGGAACATTTTGCATTTCAAATACGCATTGTCGTTACAGTAAATAATATGGTAAAGGAAATAATCGTCCACAAAAGGTTTTGTGGGCACAACCTTTTGTGGACGATTATTTCCTTTACCATATTATGAATTACTACACGATATGTGCTACCACCACGGAATTTATTTACTTACAGTAAATATTAACGGTATACTAAAGAAAGAGGCGCCCATTGATTTAACGTTACACTTTTGAGAATACAGGCGAAAGACCTATTGTCCTGGAAAGTCTCTCGATTTCTCTGTAACCACCTGTTGTACTTTGATTATTTGTCAGAAGTGAACTGACATTCATGTAATCCCTTGACTACGTTTTAGTGCAATGTAGCGAATCAGTTCATAAATGCGAAAGAGACAAGAAAAATTAGAATTAGGTGTTTAAATCCATATTCAATATCATTGTTTTTTAATTTAACTTGTGCAACCTTCTTATTCCAAAACAATTTTTGTTATAATACTGTAAAACGAGTTCTGTAAGTGTGGACAACTTCCATGAAATGAATATAAACTACTGCACTTATTGTGTATAAGGTTCTCACGTTACTCTGAAGCATATCTGTAAAGGTTGCAAGTAATACAGATGACCAGGACCGGGTTAATATTTTCACATTTCGTTATGGGCACTAGTACTCGCAACGCGGTTAGTCGCGCTGGGTCTGGTTTACCGGAACAACATTTTTAATTTTTATAAATTAAAAAAAGAGTTTTTAGAACATTCTATGAACTATACTATTGGAGGAAATGTATTATCTACGTTGCTTGAGGAAGTATTAGGAGGATATACGACGAGAAATGAATGTCAATATATATTGTATTTCCTAGAGATTATTTATTTTTTACAGAGGTCCACGCTTGGAGATGTTAAAGTGACGGAGATGGTTATGGCAGTCAGTTAACTGCTCAAGACGAAGGATTCAAGTCGAATCTGGCGATCATGTGATTTTGTCGCGGAAAGAAGAACGTACCGAAAATTCAACATTCTCTAGTGCACTAGAGTGGGGAAAAACTAAAAGCGGTTTCTGTTCAGTTAAGCGAAGAAAAATGTTTAGAAAATAATCTGTTTTAATTAGTAAAATTTTCATCAAAGATAGTTTTATGACAGATTAAACTAAAAAACCTCGCCTTTGGCTGTGAAATAAACATCCCCGCAAAGGATGAAGCCTTTCTACAAAACGACAATATTTAAGGGGTCTTCACTCTTTCGGGATTAGCGATCAACTGCTCTCTCCATTTCCAGTAGTGTGAATGTGTTGCTTACTATTTGTCGAGCGCCGAACGTTCAATTCTCACCCCACTGTAGCGTGTTGGTCTTCCGGACCCGTAATAGAGAAGCGTTCATCGAGCCCTAGTCGAGTACCTGTTCGGAATCGGGCGTTCAAGTCTCTCGCTACAAATAATACCAAATGTATGCCGCCTTCGCCCGATTCGCAACTATTTTGTGCACCGTCGAAATGCCAGAGAAAGGTCTCGATAGCGATCCTTGTGGAAGAGGAGTGGAAGGGAGAAAGCCCCGGGCATTTGTTAATGAACCGCGGCGCCGCCCGCCGGAGTGAGTCCAAGGTCGGCGGTGCAGCGCAGCGATCTCCTGGCCTAGGCATCGTGTCGTGCCGCCGCCCGCGCCGCCGGGCGGGTTCGTGTGCGCTGGAGCCCACTTTCGCCTGAGTCACCAGCGGAGCTGGGGAATCCCCCGCCACTTTCTCCTTCGCGCGAACTGCGAAGGCGGATGAGACCGCGAAATACCCCGCTCGCGACTGCGTAACGCACTTAGGCCGCGCGAAGCGGGGTCTGGCGCTGTGCGGTAAGACACGCTAGATTGGCGGGGACCTGCGGGATGCTGCGACGCAGTTTAGGCTGGCGGATGTAGGATGTGTGGGAGGAAGTTCGGTGGTGGCATTGTGAAACAATCGTCATACAGCATATTCTGAAATATACTGCGATTTTCGCAACACTGTTCCTGGTAGGTATCAGACAGTTTCATCCAATCGGGAGTTTGAATGTTACCATAGTGACATCATTATGGTGACGTTGAAGTTCCCGATTGGATGAAACCGTCAATATCTGATACCTGCCATGGGCAGAATTGCATAAATTGCAGTATAGTGTGTTGTCACGGTTCAGCAATGTGTTCCTAGCAGGGATTGTTGAGAACTGCAAGGTTCTATGAGGACGTGCCATAAATTCCTTTTAAAAAAATACGTGGAGATGGACTTTTCACTTCAATATATCGAGTTGGAAGGCACAAGCTTTTGACGCTTGCTCATATATTTCTTATAATTAAGTTAAGATGATTCTTGAAGTTGCTGGTAACCAGTTGGCCACATCATGTCAACAATGTCACAAGAATTGTGCATTATATCACCGTGTATGTTATACTAAAACTAACATAGCAGCACTTAGTTTGAAAGACGATTATTCGCACAAACTGCGCCTTGTTATGATGATTATCCTTTCATCCAAAATGAAGTAAATAGGCGAGTGCACAAGGGGTTTGCAGCAGGGGAGCTTTAACCCCTCTCCTGAACATATTGACGGGGCTCCTTATTTCTACGAAATAAACCATTTCATTCCCATAAATATGAAGAATTCTTTATATTCCTTTTTAAGCTGACAATTTTTGGAATTGGAACACTGCACTTGGGAAAGATGCTTTCCACACTTTATGGAGACCTTGTATATGATACAATAAAGAATCAATTGTATTTATTAATTGTATTATTAAAGTACCGTAATTTAACGACTCTCTAGGATTAAGGAGCCTAACATTTCGGCGATTCTTGGATGTTCTTCTTAGTAGAGAAATAATTACTCCGAATCATGCATTAAAAATTTTCAAGCTAGATTTCCCTGAGCTTGAGGAGGCAGAGAATCTTCCGCGTCCGCTTTGACAATTGTGTTCCCACCCTCAATGGCTGCGGTGTGACGCACCGTAATGTCCCGAACAGGACTCGCTTCGAGAAGCAGCGGGATCATCGGAAATCCCCAAGTGAAACAGCTTGACTTTCGCTTTTCTCTGGAGGGGAATCTCAACGTCTGTTTTGGTGATTTCACTCTAATGGAAGGGTTGCGGATATGTCACAAAAATGAGTGACGCTGCAAAACGCTGTTACGGGTGTCATTAGATCAGAACGGGATATATTGTGGACAATGGCTGTTGAACAAAACGGAAATTATGAGATAGAGTAATAAAAAATAAACTACAAGTTTTGCTAATTACAGTTCGGTTTTGATATCGTAGTTCTTAGGAACTGTTCTTTTCCTTTCTTATATAATATGCTGTCTTTTGACGGAATTGGAGAAGCAGTTTTATTTGCATATGTTACTTATTATTTGCAAATTAAATTATTAATTAATAAAGCATTATTTTTAAATCGACTACCTATATGAAAATGAGTTTTTGTGTTTGTTATAAGTGCGAAACCACAGTGGTTTTTATTTTCATCCCTGCAGAATCAATATTTCGTAAAGGCTCGAAGAAAATATATTTTTTGTCATATGACATTAAGAGCTTAAAACATTACATTAATTAAATAAACACTCATTTATTCATGCAATTCATTAATATATGCAAATATGATTTGTACAATGCTAAAATATAAAAGTATTATCTTTTGTCTCTGAAGCGGTATTATTGTATGTACTTTTTCTTACATCGTCATATGCTACCTATTTAATTTAATTACTAGTATTTGCCTAATCTACGTAAGTATTTACTGAACATAGCCTATTGACACATTTGTTTAATAAAACCATTAAATTTCTCATTAATTCGGCCCCTTGTAGGGAGTACCCGAATGCTCGGAAGCTCTCGTTACAAAAAAGTACCCCAGATTCTATACTGAATTTCATGAAGAATTACAGATCCAGTTTTTCCGAAAGACAAAAAATGTCAAGAAAATAGAATTCAAGTGGTACTTCCGGGCGCAAAATTGTAACCTGCTGCCGCGTCACGACACCAGCGTGGCGCTAGGCGTTGCGTTGGTTCTCAACTTTTTCGGTGAAACTGTCGTGTGAGGAAAACATCGGTTTGACACATCCGAGTAGTTTATTAGTATCAAATGTTTGAAGTGTATGTGTTTTATTATGAGTTTAGGCGGAAGAGCTGGCCTGAAGGCCCGTGTCTCGGCACATTAAAAAAATTACTACTATAGTTAATCAGTGTTATTGTTATTATTACTGTTAATTCCATCTATGATATTTAATGCATTTTTAATGTAAGTTTCAATTATATCGAATGCCAGCTGTAGTTAGCTTGAATCCAAAGGAAACTTGCAATAGCAATAGTTCGAACTGAGCGTCTGGATCGTCTAGAGCGTCAAGAAGTAATGAATAAACTTAATGTTTTAATGAACGAACGTTTGAGCTAAACATGATGTTAGTATGTGCCATGGTAATAAGGATAGGTGCAAGGGACTTTTATTTTCCGAATGCGGCAAACTTAAAGCATAAGACATTGGTTTTCATTGAAGATACGCCAGAAATAAACACACATTAATATTTACATTTCAGAGTGTTGTTAATTTCCATAAGACTTAATCTTGATCAACTTTTATTAACGATAACGCGTACCGTGGTTATAATTTATAACAACATGCATTTTAAGTTTCCTGAAGCGCTAATGAACAACTCCGCTAGATCGCATTCCCTAAATATTTCTTTTATGTTTATTAGATATACTTCATCCAGCCAGCTAGGTCGTCCTGCTCGCTATTTATATTTCTTAAATCAGTCAAATATAAATATCTAGCTGACCGAGCGGAACATTGTAAATGTATTTAAGGAATTGAAACGCAGTGACTACCCTACGCCGGGTGATTACATATATCTAATAAATCCAAAAATTCAAGACAGATCGCAATGCATTTCCCTAACAATAATCCTATCTCCATCCACGAATAACCGAACAAGCGTGAAACTACGATAGTTGACTGCAAATCACTACCAAACGCCCCAGTACCACCCAGAGCCCGGCGCTCTTTCTCTTGGAGAGTCGCGGGCAAAGAGGTGGCGTCGGGGGCGGGGGTGGTCGCGAGGAACCTCCAGGTAGGCCCGGCGCGGCGCACGGGGGGTTTCTCCCGGATCCCGCTCGGCGTTCGAAGGCGGCGGCGGCGGCGGGAGGGGGGCGTGACACTTTCGCCGCCGCTGCCGCGTGCCCGGTTCCGGCCGCCCCGCCCACCCTCTTGCGTCACCGCTGGACCATCCGGGTTCACGAACGCCCCAAACGGAAAAATGTGGGAAGAGACATGTGGAATGACTCTGGGAGAGCAGGTATTCCTGGAAGGGTCGAGAGGGGGGAATTCGTTCACTTGCTTCGTGCGGTTTTCCTGTTGGCGGCACGTGTTTTTGTTAAGCTGTATTTTCTTAACTTTTGCTTCCGTCGATCTCCAGTCTCTGTACAATACAGAACCATTTCTGATCGTTATAATCGATGTTTCATGCGTAGTAGCAAAATACTCATTTAAGTACTATTGTAACAATTCCAAATTAGTTGCAGATTGCGATGGCACATTGACATCACTACCATTGCCTCCGCGGCATGGCTGACCAGGATGTCCTAGGGTTATAGTGCCTAGGGTGGAGGAATTTTCGACCCTGTCTAGGCTAGGCGAATTCAAACACAGTCTCCAGGATAATGCTAGTGGCCGGCTGAACTGATCGCTAGTATTTTTTGTGATTTCTCTGATCAATACTAGCTGAATGTCGGAGTACTACCTTAACAAACGGGCCAGAGACCTCACTTCTCCCCTAATACACACCCATACATTTACATTCACACTTACATGCACTATACTACCATACGGGTAGAGAGTCCAGTCAAGAGCTTAGAGCTCGGAATGGAGCGATGCCTCGGTGGAACAGATGTACGGAAGGGAGGGATGCCGGACACGATGCCGAATGTCACGTTAACGGTGGAGGAACACCGCCTCCACCCGGGATATAACGCTTCACTTATGTACTGCACTGCACTTCATTTACGAGTGTAATGGCCATAGCAGTTGACCCACCCGAAAAAAATAATTTATCAATCAATCCGAAACAATCCATTCTTCTAATTATCAGTCATATCACTAAGGTCATACGTTGCTGGAAATAGTATTTCGAAATCCAAGATCATTCTAATTAACAGTGTTTTAAGCTATTTCAAAAAGCACTACATTTTAAATTAGAAAATAATCCATAAACTCAGTAATTAAATTTAAATAGTTTTAATGTTTTATTGTAAGTTCACCCAGCACTTCCAGGTTAGAATTTCAACAGCATTAGGACAAACCAAACACGCAAGTTATTTGTACAATAAGCAAAGAAGAATTGGTACTCTGGTAGAAGTACGATATCGATTATTCATAGCACAACGTTCATTCTCCTTTGCTGAACTCCTTCCAGCAATAAAATACATCTAAATGAGAAAAAAAAATCCGGTAAAAGATTCCAGATTGAGAGAGGGTATCGGTTACGTGTTGGAAATGCTGCCGGTGACCTAGCAAGAAGCTCAGGAAGTCAGCAGTGGTTCCTTATGAGTAAGAGCAAGCACGATCTGTTTGTTTACAAACTTCTTTGAGGTAACGTTCTTCGGTGCGGAAGGTGAAAGTCCAAGAGCAGAGTCCGGGGCAGACAGAAGCACGATTCTCTTATGGTCAATACGATATCCCTTGTTTTTATTCGCCCAAGACCTTTTTTCTTAGTGAATATCAAAATATTATATATTTGTGACCCTCTGTCAGATGTAATAATACACATTTTGATTTTCAAACCCCACAAATTCTTGTTCATCAGAATAGAAAAGAGGGCCACAAATATTTCAGAAACGTAATTTACAAACTTAAATAAAACAATAATTTGAAACGTTGAATTCAAACAAAAAATCTCAATGTTGATATTAGCACATTAAGATAAGTGTGCAGCTGATGAAGCAGACAAATAATTACGAGGGAAAGGAATATACCCAGAAAGCGATTTTCAGAGGAAATTAAAGAACCTTTCATTCACATATGTTTTTCTTGAAATATGCGTTCATTAAATATGTTGCTGTTAATAATTTTTTGCCTTTAACAAATAATAATTTAGAAATTAATATGAGGAGTGCCCTTCCCGACAGAACACATCAATCCATCCAGCAAAATGTTTTCCTCCACGCGGTCCATCCACAGCTTCTCAGTTAAACTGAACCTTCCCGAAGCTATAAAAAAGGGTTAAGTCTGTGCATTTGCAATTTTTAAAATACAGCGATTTGGCACTATATCAATATCTACTTTTGAAGAAAAAATTTCAATAAGGAAAAAATCTCCATCAATATTGTAGTGTCGCGGTGTTAACTTCTTGTTTGCACCTTTTGAAAGTACGAAGAGTTCCCGAACAAGGGGACTTAAGCCATTTTAAGCGAAATTTGCCCTAAACGAGAAAAAAATTAAGAAAAAATTGAAACAATTTTTGAGAAAAAAATGTTTAAAAATGACCTTTATTTTTTACTAATTACGCGAAAACGGCACGTATTTCACGAAACATTGTATATGAACTTATTTCAATATCTGTCTTTAAAGAACATATTCTATTATCGGAAAAAGTGTATCTTCAGTATTGATGTTGTAGGAAAGCAGCGGAAAAAAAATTGAAGTTTTGCAATTTTCGATAATATAGAGATTTCGACAAAAGTGAGATCTGCGACATTTTTTAAACGTTATCCACACAATTAAGTTTAGTAATAAAATTTGAAGACGTTTTCTGAAAAAAATACGAAAATTTTGTTGAGGATTCATGTAAGCCAATCACCAAAATCAAAATATGAATTTTAAAGCCACAGGGCCAAGAGTAACCCAGATCGATTGGGGAATAGCAATTTCGGAGAAAATCATTTGACCGGTTTAGGTGTTACGACGGACAGACGTTTTGCCGTCAACCAATTTTTTGGTACTAAGCACCTAGAAGGGTGGACTCTGACTACATAATATGTATTAAAGGATGTAATTTACTACCTATAGAAACAAGATTTATCCATTCTTTTCAATACGAGTTTTTCGTCGAAAAACACCGAATTTTGCCGCAGCATTACAATATTTTCTCTTCACTTTGTAAGTACGCAGTGAGGCGAAAAAGTAAAAGTGAATGCAATATAGTTTTATTAAATAAATTACAAATGTCTCTGAAAATTTAATATCAGGTGTATTATTTGGTCAATTGTAAATTAGTGTATTGAGTTTATCAATTTTCCAAAATACATTTTTCCTTCGCCAACGCGGAGCGGCTCTGGAAAAGGTCCCGGCTGTCAACTTTGTTCAGATTGAGAATTCGTCACAAGCGAACCGGAAATGCACGAAGAGGTGGAAGGCTTTGGTGAAAGCCCTGCAGGGCCCGCATAGCCGCTGGCACTGCGGGTGTCTTTTCAGCGAACGATGGGCCACGAACTCATGAGATGTATCAACTTGTTCGTCCCCTTTTTTGCAGTTTAAAATAGCAGTTGGCAGTTTCTTAGCTGTTTAATGCTAGTTTTCGAAATAGCTTACAATTTATAGTTGCCATTCTTCTTATAAATTAATTAAACCTATGAAATGTTTTAAGTGAATAATTTACTTTAAGAGTGTAATTTTTTTCTGTATTCTCTTCTAAATGTTTTCTTTAGTTTTCTGGGTGGTACTCTATTTTGAGATTCTCTTTCACTTCCGTTGAGTTGTCATTATTTTGCTTGAATGAAACAAATGTTTTCATTTGGCTTGCTTCAAGAAAACATAATTTTTTGTTTAATACACCAAATCAGTTAGCAGATGTAAAGCGGCGTTGTGATGCGACCGAACGTCATCAGGGGTGTATGTCATACCATGTAGATGCGGTTACAGTTACATCAGAGAGACGGGATGGACCAATGAGGAACGACCCCGGGAACACGTGTTATTCCTGATTTCGTGTGTAGACTAATAATATAAATAATTAGACCATAGCCCTCCGCGCATGGAAAAGTGGCCACGAAATTCTTTTTGACAACACCTGCTTCCTGGTCAGAGAAGACCACTGGTGACCGAGGAGAGTAAAAAAGGCGGTGAAAATCATAAAAAAATCTCCAAACGGTGAATGCTGAACAAGCTCTATGTCTCAAAGAGGCATGGAAATATTTTACCACGATGTCCGGGCGCGTCAAAGGTGGTTCCCGCTGTTCCTTGACGTCCGAAGTCGGGCAGTTCACTTCTCTCACTGCGCCAGAGAGACCATTCACTGATTGGACAAGGTTTTCTCGGCATTGTCCGATCGTTCGACTATTGGTACATCGCTCTTTATAGACCCGCACGCATTCCAATTCCGCGGTTTTTACCCTGAGGAAGGTCGCGGTTTGCCAGCCGAAACATTGGCAACAGTGCCTAGCACACGGCGTCTCTCGGACAGCCAAGTGTCTGTAATTCGTCTTCCTTTATTTTACATTTTCAATTCTCTCTCTGAAAACAGGGACGATGATGAATATATTATATATCTTTTACAGGAGACTTGCACATTTAAGACTGGTCTGCTTAATTTTGAGTGATAATTTTGAGTACCTAATCATGTGTACTTGTGCGCTTGCGTGTGTTGCTGCGTGCGATGAGCATGCGTGTATGAGAAATAGGCGAGATAATTTCAGGACCAAGTATTGTCTTGCGAACTACTTCTTTTTGGTTCTGATGTCAGGTAGAGGAAGCATAGGAAAGATTCGTATAATTAATTCTATTTCAGTTTGTTTGAATTTTTGTCGTAAATAAAGGAGACATTTTCCAACTTCCTTGCAAAATCCAGGGTCAAAATTGCACTAACTTCTCTGATTGAATAAAACATTTCCATTGCGTACACGCGAGTAGTTGTTTGATATGGAGCTGACTGATTCTCTCAAGATCTCTCATGATGAGAAGCAGTACATAACCGACGAATATTTGAGACAATAACTCAACACATTCGTTCGAGTAAGTTTAGAATTTTTAGTCTTTTCGAAAGTATATAACCAAACTACTGCAAAACATTTCCTTCAATATAATCTACACATTTTTGAAAATTGCAATGGAACTTAACATTCATATAGTGTGAAAGTGGACATTTAAAGCAAAAATAATGTCACGTTACATTCAAAGGGGAAAAGGCTGTAAAACACAATATTTTGCAGTATAAGGTGCTTGATGTAAGGAAACACATTAATAAAATTTGAAACAAAGAAGAGGTTTTAGGACAAAATAACTAATCGAGGTGAGAATCGAAAAATATCTTCTAATAACTTTGAACATTTAGTCAAATAAGGAAATTGTATGTCATTGCCTATTATATCTTTAATATTCCATTGCAAACATAACCACATAGCAAGTAAATTGAAATTTAATCGCAACGTGAATTATAATAGGTGGGTGATCATAAACTTGTGACTGAAGAGTGATATCTGATAATG